GTGTGTATGTATGTGTGTGTATGTATGTGTGTGTGTATGAGCGAGGGGAGAGGGTGGACCTGTGTCATTCCGTATGCCGTTATGTCGTACACTGTTAGAGTTCCGCTGGTGATTGGCGCTGTAATGTGATGTGGTGTAATACTCGCTACAGTCTCCCCTCCCCCCCCCCGGGTGGAGGGAGGGGACACTTTCGTAATATAATGGAGAGGTTGAGAGCTGTTAACCTGAGGTCGATAACATTCCGTACGTAGTACGGAGTCCGTACATGTCGCCCTTCCCTCCCTCCTTTCGTACACATATACGTAGTATCGCGGCTCTCTAAAAACGCGGTTTTCTAAAAACACATACACGTACACAGGCACACACGGGCACACAAACACACCTGACGGCTCTGCCGCTCCGCTGCCGCTGTCATCGCCAGCGGCCCCTCCCGCTGCTGCACTGCCGTCGCCGCCTCCGTCGCCGCCTCCGCCAGCGGCAACGTCCGCAGCCCCTCCTGCCCTCACGACGCCACCGCGATGCGTCCAGCCCCCCGTCGGGGCCCCCCGCCAACAACAACGACCACACAAACCCGCGGAGAAACGTCCCATGGGTCCGCTCCGCATCGGCATCAGCATCCCCATCGTCGTCGTCGTCATCATCGCCATCCTCGGTGGTGAGGTGGAGGGTGGAGTCACATGTGGCCCACGTGTGGAGTCCCAGCGGCCGCCGCCTGTGGGAGAGCTCCCCGGTATGTGTGTGAGTGAGTGTGTGTGTGTGTGTATGGGGGGGAGAGGGGTGAACGCGGCGGGTCAGGGGGGCCCCGGGGGTGATGTGAATACGGGCGTGCATGTGGGAAGCGGGGGTGGAGAGATATGTCTGTATGTCAGATCAAGTCAAGTCATGGAGGAGGGGAAACGACCCGGGGTGCCAACTACCAACTACCAACTACCGACGTCCAAAGTTGCTTAGTACTGCAGTTGGGTTGCTACAGAGCTGACTGACACAACGGGGCGGGGGTGGCCTTGGGGTGACTTTACTTGGGGCGGTTGGGACTGCCCTGAGTGCCCATTTGTAATGTGGGAGGGAGGGAGGGAAGGGGGAAACACGAACCACACACGAGAAGAAGAAGAAGAAGAAGAAGAAGAGGAGGGAAAGGGGAGGGAAGAGGGCAGGGGAGGGAAAGACGAATCACGAACGAGTGAAG